GATTTATAAATATGATGTAATCCCCATCAAAATACCAATGATATTCTTCACAGAAACATAAGGGAAAAAAAACATTAAATTTACATAGAATCACTAAAGACCATGAGTAAATAAAGCAATCCTTAGCAAGACAAATCTAGAATCTAGAAGTGTAACAATATGTCAATTCAAAACATACCTCAAAACTATAGAAACTAACGCAGCACAATAAATACATCAATTGAACACAACAGAAAATACACAATTTATTTATTTATACCCAATTCATTTTCAACAAGGATGGCAAGAAACTGGAAAAAAAGTCTCATCAACAACAAACGGTGTTTGGAAATCTGGATCTACATATGCAAAAAGAATGAAATTAAGTCTCTTCCTCTCAAAAATCAACTCAAAATGGATCAAAGTCTTAGATGTAAGACCTAAAACAATGAAATTACTATGAGAAAACAGGAGTAAACACTTCAAAACATTAATATAGGCAAAGGTTTTTTGCATAACACCTCAAAAGCAAAGACAACAAAAGCAAAACAAGGCAAATGGGCTTCTTTCAAACTAAGAAGGTTCAGCACCAAAGAAAATTGTGAGCAGAAGTGACAACATGCCTGCAGAATGGGAGGAATCTGTCAACTATTCATTCAATGAGAGAGTAATCCAGGACACACAAGGAACTCAACAGCAAAAGAACAAATACTTTGATTTTTAAAATGGGCAAAATATGTGAATAAACATTTCTAGAAAAGACAAATTGGGACTGAAATGAAGTAAATCAAATTCCATGCATGTATTTGTCAAAATGAACCAAACTCTTATGTATAACTGTAATGAAGTAATAAAAGAAAAAAACAAATAGCCATAAGTATATGAAAATATGTTCAATATCACCAATCATAAGGGAAAGAGAAATTAAAAACACAGCGAGTCAGACACAATGGCATATGCCTGTCATCCCTGTGATCTGAAAGGCTGAGGCAGGAGGAGAGCAAGTTCAAGGACAGCTTCATCAACTCGGCAGGCGAAGCCCTCAGCACTTAGCAAGACCTTATCTCAAAATAAAAAATAAAAGGGCTGGGATGTAGCTCATGGTAGAGCATCCCTGGGTTCAATCCACAGTACCCAACAAAAACCACAATGAGATATCATCTCACCCTAGTCCACAAATGGCTATAAACAAACAAAAAGGCAAAAAATAACAAATGTTGACGACAATGTGGAGAAAGGGGAATTCTCACACACTGTTAGGAAAGTAAATTAATATGGTCACTATGAAAAACAGTATGAAGGTTACTTAAAAAAAAACTATAAAGAGAACAACCATGATCCAACACCATTTCTAGGTACATATATAAAGGAAATGAAATCATTATTTCAGAGATACTTGCACTTTTTTGATTATTACAGTACTCTTTTGTTGTTGTTTTGATACCAGAGATTGAACCCAGGGGTGCTTAACCACTGAGCAACACCCCCAGCCCTTGTTGTATTTTATTTTGAGACAGGGTCTTGCTGAGTAGTTAGGACCTCACTAAATTACTGAAGCTAGCTTTGAACTCACAATCCTCCTGCCTCAGCCTCCCAAGTCACTGAGATTACAGGCATGTGCCACCACACCTGGCTATAGTACTCTCCATAATACCTGAGATAGGCAATCAACCAAGGTATCCACTGATGGATGAATGGATTAAAATGTGGTATTTGTACACATGTGGAATATTGTTTAGTTATAAAAAGGATGAACTCCTGTCATTTGTGGCAATTTGGATTGAACTGCGTTATGGGAAATAAGCCTGGCACAAAAAGAAAAATATTACATATTATCACTTTATGGAAGCTAAAAATGTTGATCTCATAAAAGAGGGAAGGGCAAGGGGAGAGAGATGTTAGATGAGAGGTTACCAACATATGGTTAATATAGTAGGAACAGTCCTAATGTTCTAGAGCACAATAGGACAACTGCAGCATACAACAATTTATATACCTCACAGGAGGTTCCCAGCACCAAAAAAAAAAAAAAGTTTGAGGAGATCGAAATACTAACTACTCTGATTTGATCATTTTACACTGTATACACTATACCCCACATGTACATATACTGTCAAATTTTTTAAATTGCATTTTATCCCATAAATATGCACACTACTTCTCAGTAAATTTAAAATGAAAAACATTTTTAATAACTATAGATACAAAAAGTTTTAAATAAATTATTGGCAAACTGAATCCTACAGGATTTATAAAAACACCGATACACTAGTAAGAATGGGAAAGGACTGGACCGCAACCAGAAAGGCGATGAGAAAATCAGAGCCAATAAGGAACAGATTTAGATAAATTCCACATTTGAAATTTTAGAAGAAATGGTCATTTTCTAGCAAAATATAAGTGAGTCAACTTGACTCAAGAACAGGTAAAAATGTGGACAGAAGAGAAGCTCTCAGAGAGGCCTTCTGCAAAGGCTGTAAAATATCATAAGCGAGACAAAATTTCCATAGTGAATTCAATCTTTCAGCTTTATTCTTATAGTATTGTTCTCCTTTTTTTTTTTTTCAGATTACAGGAAAAGAACTCAAAATGAAGTTTGCAATCAAAGATGACTGGGAAGAAATTTTATCTTTTGGAATCAGGGTCTTGTTGTGTTGTCCAGGATGGTGAACTCACAGCGTTGTGGTGTAAATTAATCAATAAAATCAGTAACAGTGTAAGTTATAGGTTATAAATTAGTAAAAAAAAAAATATATATATATAATAAGATTTTGATAAGTGAGGTAAGACAATTATAAATCAAGAACTGACATAGGAAGGCCTACGACTCCATTTTGCTGCCTTCTATAAAACACTGTTACAAGAGCTGTTTTTGAGAAACTGAAATTAAAACTGTTTTCTTATTATATATTGTTTTCTGTATATTGTACCCCACAAATTGTACCCTACTCAGGATGCAGCAATGGTTGTGGTAAGCTGCATCCTGGGTTGGAGTGCCCTCGTGGGTCTACGTGACTTTGAAATAGACTCTTGCCCCTGCCAACCCCTGCTCAACTCGGGATACGACTGTCTAATACCTGCTCGGACCCAAGATGTGGCTAACTGAGTGGCAAAGCTGACCGCTTTTTTTTCTAGCTTCTGTAATAGGCTTCCTTGCATGATGCTAAGGAAAGCCCCTGAGTTGTGGTTCATCTTTAGGTTCCCAGGACATAGGCCAGGAAGCTACTGTTCTCCCACAGAGCTTCAATCTCTACGGGTGAGTGACAGTCCCTGGCCAGGTAAATAAAACTCTCTTTGATTTGAATTTGGACTTAAGAGTGTTTTCATAAGTCCAAATTTGGACTTTTAACAGGCTCATGTGATCCTCCGGCCTCAACCTTCTGAGTAGCCAGGACCATTTTGGTGTCGTACTGCACAGGGCTGTGTCAGGATTTCCTCAGGAAAGGTCCTGTGGTTGGGAAGCAAGGCAGAGGAGCATGAAGACCCTCGAGCACCCTGCAGCCAGCCACACTGGAAACAACTGCACACATTAACATAGGGTTTGGCAAACCAATTCAGCCAAATTCAGACCACTGCTTAATTGTGTATTATATGAATTTTTTATATTTTGGTTAAAAAAACAACAAAAATAATAATTCATGTCACATGAAAATTATATGAAATTAGAAAGGAGAATTACTGAGGAATGAAAATGGTCAAATTAGGGGCTGGGGTTCTATCTTAGTGGTAGAGCACTTGCCTAGCATGCGTGAGGCATTGAGTTCGATCCCCAGCACCACATAAAAATAAACAAAATAAATTCATTCTGTCCATCTACAACTAAAAAAAATATTTAAAAAAAATAGAAAATGCCAAATTATATTGTTGTGTGCATGTATGAATATATAATAACGATTTCCACCATTATGTACAACTGCAACGCACCAAAAATCATGGAAAAAATTATATGAAATTCGCATTTCAGCCAGGCATGGTGGCACACGCCTATAATCCCAGTGGCTGAGGAGGCTGAGACAGGAGAATCGTGAGTGGAATAATCTATAATTTTAAAGAAAAATCTATTACAGGAGGTTGTGTTCTATCCACATGTGGCCCTTGGCAGAACTCCTGGCTATGTAGGATACCATGTGGTTCAAAATTCAGGGACACAGTCCCTCCTTCAGTCTTCAGTTTATATTTCTGTGAAGTCAGGATAACAATGAATACCTATTCGGCTGCTGTAATGAGAAAAAGGATATGAAAACTGAGATTTTTTTTTAGTTGAGGATAAACACAATATCTTTATTTGCTTATTTTTATGTGGTGCTGAGGATTGAACCCAGTGCCTCACACATGTGAGCACTCTACCACTGAGCTACAGTCCCAGACCTAAAAACTGAGAACTTCTGAACTGTATATGCTAATAAATTTTAAAATGTTAAGCCACCCAAGCTTGCACAAAGCTGTGACTGATAGATCTTACTGTCTTGGTAAAACATCCCAGTGGGCCAGCATCAGTGCAGTGTGGAGGATCATATGACAGAGAGATTTCAGATCAAATTCTGATGATGCATGCAACCATTGGAACACTACAACAGCCGCCATCCCAAGTACTGTTGGTCAATTCTGCCTTCACGAGGCAGCACCCCAAGAAAGCAAAACTGTGCCACCTAAGTGAAATTCAAATTTCAAACATGCTCCACCCCACGCTTATTACCAGTATGACCTGGCACAGTGACTGAGCCAAACTGTGCTCATATTTCTTATCAGCAAAAAGGGGCTCCCTCTCCCAGCGACTCAGGAGGCTGAGTGAGGGAAGAGGATCTCAAATTAAAGGCCAACCTCAACAACTTAGGGAAACCCTGTCTTGAAACAAAAAATAAAAAAGACTATGAATGTAGCTGTATGGTAAAGAACCCAGTGCAAAAAAAGAGTTTTGCAAAATAATTAAGAAAGATCATAAAGACAAAGGCATTACAAAGACCAAAGTAACACAAAGGTTTGATTTCTTCCCTGCCTTCCCTTCCTAGGGACCAGCTCACCTCATGCAAGTCCCAGGCACGGACAGTGCAGTCTGAGGACACAGTGCAAACCACAGACTTCTTTCTGTCAAACTGGTACTCATTGGTTGAGATGTAAGCCAGCTTATTTATCTCTCCTGTAAGAGAACACAGAGATGGCCTGGGATCTGAACACTCAGTAAAAAAGGCTGGCAGGAATGCCACTTCTTTCTCTCTCAGGAACACAATGGGTACTCAGGGGACAGTAAAACAGAAAAGAACTAGCACTTTACAGTAATAATTAGGGACTGACCATCACCCACCAGTCATATGATCTTGAACTACTCCCTTTTCCATTAGTTTTGTTTCTGTCTACTCTGAAATGTGATGATTCTTTTCCTCACAGGGTTATTGTGACATACCACAAATGATATGGAACCTAGCAAGATAGGTACTCATGAAGTGACACTTTTTAGGCCACTCACTGCAATGCCAAATCCCATAAGACTTGCCCAGGGCAGGGCATCATGGCATATACCTCAAATTCCAGCAGCTTGAAGCAGAAGGAGTCAAGTTCAACAACAGCCTCAGCAACTTAGCAAGATCCTGTCTCAAAATTTAAAAGAGCTGGGGATGTGGCTAGGTGGTTAAGCACCCCTGAGTTTAATCCCCTGTACAAAAAAGACTTGACCAGGGAAGGTGAGCAGTATGAATGGACATATCTGCTACATTCTGCCCCTCATACCCGTGTGCCCAAAAACTGCTTTGCAAATGAAGTCCTTCTCTGGCCGCCCAGTCTCCATTCGGAACTCCAACTCGGACCGGCAGAGGTAGTACTGTTTCCATGTCTGTGTGCCCAGGACCGTGGGGCAGGACCAACGCCTCAAACACAGCTGCCTAAAAACAGATGCAAATTCTAGGCAGACAGAATACAGCAGGCATGGATTTTGGAGTCTTATTTTGGAGTTGAGCTTTGGATCCTGGCTCTGTTATTTACTGGTTTTGAAACCTTGGACAATTAATGTTGCTGACCTACATCTTGATTTCCTCTCCTATAAAACAGGACAAAGATAACACTGAAGGAGGCCAGGCGTGGTGGGGTTCGGGAGACGAAGGATCGAGAGTTTAAAGCCAGCCTCACCAAAGGTGAGGCACTAAGCAACTCAGTGAGACTCTGTCTCTAAATAAAATATAAAATAGGGCTGGAGATGTGGCTCAGTGGTTGAGCACCCCTGAGTTCAATCCCTAGTATCAAAAAAAAAGATAACACTGAATGAATCTTATAGGTGTGTCAAAGAAAAAGTGTCTTTTTATGTATCCAGTCAACCCAGTGAGGCATGATATCCTCATTCTACATGTGACGACACAGAAGCAAGAGGTTAAAAAACTGGGATTCAAGAGCCTCAAACTCTTATTACTGAATTGCCTATTTCTCCCTTTAATCCGTCAGCACCTGCAAGTATTTGTTGCTCTGTTGTTAGGGACACATATAAATGTCATATTTTCTTGACAGATGGACCCATTTATTATTATAAAACACCCTTTGACTCTAGTAACACTTTTTTTGTCTTAAAATCTTTGAATGATGCTACTAGCACAGCCATTCAGCGCTTTCTTGGTTACTATTTGTCAGGCACATCTTTTTCCATTCTTTCATTATCACTTACTTGTGTCTTTGAATTTAAAGTATATCTCAGGGCTGAGAATGTGGCTCAGTGGTAGAGAACTTGCCTAACATGTGTGAGGCCCTAGGTTCTATTCCTAGCACACACAATAAATTGTGTCTCACATAGATGACATACAGATGGATCACTTTTTAAAATCCATTCTGTCAATCTTTGCCCTTTTAATGGAGTGTGTAACACATTTCATACAGTTACTAATAAGATGGGAGATAAATGTCATTCTGCCATTTTATTTTCTGTGTCTTATGCCTTTTTCCCCTCTATTCCCCAACTACCGCCTTCTTTGATGCTACCTTCTAGTATACTATTATAATTCCCTCATCCTTTCTCTTACCATTTTCATATATTTGATACTTTTTAGTGGCTGCCTTGAAACCAAAATTTAAATCTTAACTTTATAACAACGTTTGAATTAGTAACTTAATTCCAGTAGAACATAAAACATTTCCTCCCTGCGTCCTTTTCACTGTTATTGTCACAAATTAAGTTCCAGAAGAAAGGAGCAGCTTATGATGTGATGGAAGTTGAGTGCCAGGAGAGTGAACACTTGGCTGGAGAGAGGAGGCCTTATGGATGGAGGTTTTCAGCGCTCAGGTTACACCAGAGCTGATGTGGCATCTCCTGGCTCCAGGTCCAGCCCTATATCTCAAGAGGGGGAGAATGAGGTCAGCTGGGAAATCACTTTTCACAGCCCCATGGTCTGAGTAAGTACTGGTACTACACGAAGGGTGTCGACTATCCCGCCCCCCCCCACGCGCTGGGCACCTGTGTGTCAGGCTCTGTGCCAGACACTGGATGAAGACCCACTGTGCTGCTGAATCTCTCGCCTTTTCACAAGTGACACACTGACGGCCTAGGGGGGAAGAAGGCCCAGATTTTTGTGTGTGGCCTGCATAAAGGTTGGCTCACATGAACGAGCTGCCAACGTTTTTAAAAAAGGAGACTTTACAAAATGAAAAACAAAAACAATCACAAGAGATAATTTTACACTAAAATCAAGACGAACACTATGGAATAGTAGTTAAAAATCTACTTGTGATTTGGCCTACAGACAGCAGAAAAACTTTTATGAGGAACCTGGTAGGCACAACATAGGAACAAATGACACTGTGGAAGTTAAGTGGTGAGGTGATTTTTTTTTTTTCTTTTCTTCTTGTGGTACTGGGGACTGAACCCAGGGGAACTCTACCACTGATCTATATCCCCAAGCCATTTCAAAGATTTTTTTTTTCATTTTGAGACAGGTTCTCACTACGGTGCTTAGGCTGGCCTCCAACTTCCTATATCCTCCTGTCTCAGCCTCCTGAGTCACTGGAATTACAGGCATCTATCACTGTGCCAGGCCTAAATATTTTTTTTAACTTCTCAAATAAATACATATTTTACTCATAGGGAAAATTTTTACTCTGTCTTATCAGCAAAGATGAGAACAAAGAGTGGGGATGGGATTGACATCTCAACCATTTAAATATGACCACTCCTCTGCAAGGACTTCTATAAGTAGTTACCCTGATCATCAGTCAATTCATTTATTCCTAATGAAACAATTTAAGAAACACACTGGCACCTGGAATCCCAGCAGCTCAGGAGACTAAGGCAGGAGGATTGCGAGTTCAAAGCCAGCTACAGCAACTTAGCTAGGCCCTAAGCAACTATCTCAAAATAAAAAGTAAAAAATGGCTGGGTATGTAGCTCAGTGGTTAAGTACCCCTGGTACCAAAAAAAGAAAAAAAGAAAGAAAGAAAAATTAAATTAAAAGAAACACTGGCAAGACAGAATCTTGTCTACTTGCCTACAGGAAAGCCAATTTCCAAACTTTTTTTTTTTTTTGGTGTGTGTGTGTGTGTGTGTATGTGGTGCTGGTGATTGAACCCAGGGCCTTGTGCATGCAAAGCAAGCACGCTACCAACTGACCTATGTCACCAGCCCCTGAATGTTATGTCTAGACCACAACCTCAGAACTAAAGAGAGAAAGACTGAATTCCAACAAAAGTTCTACTTCAAAACTGAATAAATAAGAGAGTATTTGTTTAATTTTTAGTAATAAAAAGCTACAAATAGAAAGTGCTCTATAATCCTGAAAACAAAATATGGTTAAAATTGGCATTCCTGACTTCTCAGATATCTCAAGGCATAATTATCCTAAAAATTCCCTCCATCTTTCAAAGAATCTTTGATGTGTAAATAGGTATTTCCCATCATGAGTGATAAACACAACTCCTGGTTGACAGGCTGAACTGTATTCAGCAAAGAGATTTGACAGGTCTTTTTCTTTCCCTATTCTTAAGTTTTAACATCATACATACTTACATTGCTACGTTATTATATCAAGGCTGAATTAAAATGAAAGTAATATGATCATATTTCTTTTCATTTGTCTTCTGTCAATCAGCAGCATTCATTTGCTGTATATTTCTGCCTGAGTCTGGAAACCCTCCCATTTGACAACCTTATGTCCCTAACCAGAGAAGCTTTCTGCTGGTAGGGTCAGGGATAATCATTTCTATGCACTCACAGAGCCAGAAATTCATAGGGCACTCAGAAGACTTATCAAGTAGACCCATCTCTCCTTTGTAGGATCATCTTTGGCTCTTCCTTCACTCACCTCCAGAGTTCCATGGTCATTGAAACTTCATTCCAAATCTAGTACCAGGAGGGAGAGAAGAGAATATCTGGTCAGTCAAGAGGTGATTTGAACCTAGCCTGCCAAGCCCTGTGAAAGGAGCAGAGAGACAAACCAGACCTAGTCCCTGCACTCAAGAAAACTTACCTTGGGGAGTTAGAGACACATTTAGATAATTAAGTAAAAACATTCATAAGCAGGCATGCTGGCTCATGCCTGTAATCCCAGCAGCTCGGAGGCCGAGGCAGGTGGCCAGCCTCAGCAACTTAGTGAGGCCCTAAGCAACTCAGCAAGACCCAGTCTCTAATAAAATGTTTTTAAAAGAGGGCTGGGGGGGCTGGGGTTATGGCTCAGTGGTAGAGCACCTGCTTGCTATGTGAGGCCCTGGGTTTGATCCTCAGCACCACAAAAATGGAAGGAAGGAAGGGGGAGAGGGAGAGAGGGAGAGAGGGGGAGAGGGGGAGGGGGGGGAGAGAGAGAGAGAGAAATTGTATCTATCTACAACTACCTAAATAAATAAATAAGAATTTTTTTAGAAAGGGGGTAGGGATGTGGCTCAGTGGTAAAGTGCCCTGGGTTCTGGAGATGTGGGGATGTGGTTCAATGGTTAAGCACTCTTGGGTTCAATTCCTGGTACAAAAAACAAACATTCATATAATGAGTAAGAAGAGACTCAGAGGGCCTAGGAGGGCTCAGAAAGTGATTACTGATCAAGTGTCAAAGAATGAATAGTTATTACTACTAAGAGAACAGCTGAAGCATCATAGATGGAACAGCTGGGCAAATATGATAAAGTGTGGGGGAAAAAAATGGTTTATTTACCTGCACAAGCACATAAGATTCTGGTTGGGAAAAGGAGCTGGACATTGACTTAGACCAATCCTGTAAAGCCCTAATGGCAAAAACAATAGAAGTTACTTGAGAACTTTGACTACGGGAATACCAGCAACAAACCACATTGTAGGAGTCTGGCAGTTGTGAGGAGGAAGGACGTGAAATGAGATCAGAAAAGAAGACCTTCCATAAAGGCTGCAGCAATGGAGTAAATTAAGGCACTGACCAAGGAGACGCTGCAGAGATGCCAAGATGGAGAATGAAAAAGCCTTCCAGGGAAGGAACTATTCAGACCTTTCTCTCACAGCTTCTCTGCAGAAATACCTGCCAGGGGCACAGGAAGGTTCTGAATGTGGAATGGGAATCAGGGTGCTGTCTAGACCTCATTCCCTCAGGCCCACACTGTCACCTGGAACTTCCTGGCCTCTCCAACCAAGCCACTGTGGATTCTGGAGCACAAACTGCAGTGGGTAACTCTGAGCCGTAGGTGGTCTGGTGGCTCTGCAGTCCCATGCCAGAAGAGTGTATTTCCTAGCCCTGGCAGAAGCAATCAACACCTTCTCCAAGCCTAGACTCCCCTTCAATAACCCTCATGTATCTGCTAGATCAAAATCTCCTGGGTCTTTAGTAACTACCAAAGATGTAAAGTTTATATTTTGCAAAAGCAAACCAAAAATCTGAGTATTTTTCATTCTAGTTATAGTTCAAAACCCAAATGAAATCTTATTTCCTAAAGAGTACTATAACATCTTTGAGAATCCTTGATAAGATTCTATAGTCTTCATAACGACATTATGTAGCAGGAAGTACTGACCTCATTTTACCTATGCAGTAACTATTACCAGGGAAAATGGTGCTATTAAAGGGTATAATGCACCCATCTTTCAAATTAGGCCTCTCAATTAGCCCTACCTTACTTCTGTAAAAGCAGAGATCCAATTTCAGCCCAGTGAGTGATTCTGTGGGTTACCTTAAACAAATAACTTATCAGTAACAAGAGATGAAATAACATCAATAAAAGTACTAGTTGTATTTAAAATTATGATTATGGTATTCAAATGAGTATATTTACGAGCCCTTTCATTAAATGAAATAATAATGTGCTTTGAATGTCCTTTTATTCAACAAACATTTACTAAGGGGCACTAAATGTCAAGGGACACTGAGTGCTAGAGATAGTTATGAAAAAGACAAAATCCCTCTCTTCGGATGAGTCCAGCAGGGAAAAACAGTTATTAGACAAGTACATTATATTAATAGTCAATTAAGTCGCGTTGCGTCCTTCAAAGAAAGAATACAGAGGACCTGTAACGCAGGTGGCAGTGAAGCTGCAACAGATGAGGCTATTTCGCTCGACAAGTGTTTCGTGAGCAGAGCCAAAAAGGCGATGGCAAGGGAGCGGGACATGCGAGGGACAAGAGAGGGAAAGCAGAGACCACAAAACGAGGAGCCACTATGGGTGGAAACCGGGAGGTGCCCTTCCGAACTCTGACGGTAACACAGAAAAAAACAGGAAGAAAGTTCCAGAATATTTCAGAAAACCCGGAAATGAGAAGAAAAACCATCCCTCAGCCAACCTCAGGGGTGAATGCGGACGACCGCAGGGAGCGCGGGTCCGGGTCAAGATGCGCGGCTCAGCAGCCCGGACCAATGGGCGACCGAAGGCACCAATGGGCGACCGAAGGCGCCAAGGCACCCCCGCTGGACCCGGAGCAGCCAGATGCCCCCGCGCACTCCCCCAGGGTCGCGAAACAGGTCCCAAAGGCAACACCCCTGGCCTCAGGCGCCCCAGGCCGAGCGGCGCACCTTGTTCACCTGCGCGGCGCACAGCAGGTCTTGGGCCTCCAGGAAGGAAAAGACGTGCAGCAGCTCGTGCACCCCCAGCCGCTGGGCCATGGCTCCGGCGCCGCCGGGCTCGCCGCACCCAGGACGCCGAGCTCCCG